ACGAAGGGCTAAATGCAACTTTTGTAAAAATTTTCATTAGTTTTCATTTATTTTTTGAATTCTGTTTCACTTTTCTCAATAATCATCTCTCATAACATATTTTGCAAATACTGTATTTCTATCTTTAATTAGTTGGAAAGCTGCTTTTTACTTTGATTTCTGAGCATTTGTGCCCATTATCATTGGTGTGATANCAAAGTTCTGTGTGAAGTTAGTGTGTTGACCATCTTGTCTCTCATCAAGTTATCATACAACAATTGGTACAATTATGAGTTTTAAATTCTGTTTATGAACTCAATTGTTCAAAAACTGAGGTGTTTGAAAACTGATGTTTGACTAAGCCTAAAATGAAAATGTTAAGATGTATATATATTTTTTGAAAATAAAACAACTTCTATATTTAATTAGTTTTTATTACAAATTATTTTCTTTAAATTACAACACTGATTATACATTATTTCAGAGCGTTTAGATAAATGAAAATGATTTTTAACAAATTTTTTACAAATTTGTCATTATAAAAGTTGTTGGATACACTTATTTCTATTAAGCATTGATTTCTATTAATTTTATACAGAAAAACAAAAGTAACCAGTAAGTTAACAAATATGAATTTTGATGAACAATATTATTCCAACAATTTTTTGAATTTTGTTTTATAAATCTTATAATTTTTGTTTTCATCAGTTTTAATTTATAGCTATTGTAGTGAAAGTAAGAATTTTTATCTTTTGTAAAGAATATTGATACTCATTGACTTCCTCACTTATTTTTTCATGCAAAATGTAAAATAATCTTAAGTATACAATTCTGACATTTCATAAAAATATTACTATTTATTATGCTAATAGTTTAAATGTAATTTCCTGACAAAACTTATATTTTCCTGTTATATAGAAATTTTGAATTAAAATTATTGACTTACAATTTAGAAAATTTTAAAAATTTTGTTGTNAGATACATAAAGATTTTAATTATAAAATATAATAGATGGCACCACACAGTTTTAAATGTTGCAGGGAAAGTTAAGCAACTTGTTGCTGGATTTTTGAATTCTATAAACCAAAAAGAGAAAATTTACTTAGTAACTGGTACTGGTGTTATTACTAGAAAAAAAGTTTTAATTGAAAAGCAAGGATTTTCAGAATTTTTTAAACAAATATTCTGTTGTAATGTATAATATTTTAATTTAGTATTGGAATTAGTATATGCATATCTATGTTTGAATTTGTAACGTAATACATTTATAATAAGTATACATGATGTACTATGCATTATGTTATAACAACTATTAGTAGATAGTAGTAGTTATAGTAGTAATACTATGTAATAACTATGTAATAGTAGCAATTGCTTTCATTCATAAATTTTATTAATTTGACTTTTGCAATGATAGCACTAAAAGATAAACATTTTATAGTTAAAAGTGTGATCTAGTAATTGAATAACTAGTTTTCATGTTATTTGAAGATATTTCTTAAAATTTTAAAAATAAATTTGTACTAATTAGAAAATCTGAATAATATCGTTTGCTGAAATCTAGTTATATTAAATCAAATATGATTAGATTTCTGAGAATCAGCAAAATTACTGTTATTTTTCTAGTTCCTTGTAAAGAAATTTGTAATTTATCATTGGTTTGTATAACATATATCTAATTTTTGAATAAAAATGTAATATTTTCAATAATGATATATATTGAAAATGTTCTAATTACAATGATTGATATTTAGTACTTTTGAAAGAATATTGAACTCTTCTCTTATGATGCTTAATTAGTCTCGTAAATTTATAATGTAATTTTTCTGTTTAAACACACAGTAGACCTACATACATATTTGTATAGGATATTTAATTTTTTGCTATCTTCTTATACTTTTTATGTTATTTTTCCATTTGATATTTTCTAATTTGTTTTGAGATGATTAAATTTTATAAATGTTTTTTCAAAAGAAATATCAACTAACAGTAAATTTGTTTCTGTTGTTTAGAATATCTCAGCTTACTAAACAAAAATATTTGGAAGTCTTTGATTCGATCTCAATCAAATCTTACTTTAAAAATAAAAGAAAATGGAGTTAAAACCATAATACTTAATAATCCTAAGAAAAGGTAATTATGTTCAAAATATTATTTCATTTTATATATATATATTGTTTTTAAACATCTGAAAAAAGGAAAATTATTTATTTGTTATTTTTGAAAATACAGTAGAGCGTCGTTTATCTGAAGGTCGGTTATCTGAAGGAATTTCAGTCGACAAATTTAAATTTTCGCCAGTGCTGTGACGCTGTAATCTTTGGCTATGTCTTCGGCTACTCAAATATTTTACGTTTTTGATACTAAATTAACTTCTGAAGTATAATTTTTTCTTGTTTTTATATTTTTCAATATATTTATTTTGTTTGTACAAAATAAAAAAATAATTTAATGATACAATAGTCTTCATTAGGCTTAACATCGACGAAAATTCAACGCGAAGCGACACGCAACGAAGAAAAATTTCAACACGGGATAAATTAATACATTTTTTGTACATAATTGGTTATCCGAAAAATAAGTTATCTGAACAACCCCAGTTCCCAATTGATTCGGATAAACGATGCTGTACTGTAATAAAAATACAATACATGAAATTTCTTTGTTAAATTTTCAAAAAAATCTTATTAAAACAAATAATTATTTTAGGAAATCAACCTATATACAATTTTTATTTATGAACTTAAACATTAAACTCATTTCAGTAAAGTTAAATTGTAATTATAAATGAAATGAATTTAATTAAATATTTTATCTTGTTAAAAAAATTTAAATTTATTTTTTACATTTCAGTAATTTTAATTAATCAGTGTACATAATTTTAAGATACACATTAACATTAAGTGATAAGTTATTTTAAAAAAAAGCATTAAACAAGGAAAAAAGCAAAAAGTTTCACTTTTTATTGATATCTATTTTTATCATAATCAAATAAATAGGTTTTTAATTGGATGAGATATCCATGTATGATTAACATAAATTTTTCCATTGAATGTAAATGACAGTTCATCATTTGTTCATTGATTAGTTTTGTCACCATTAGATTTATACTGGTAGATATTTATAAATTAATAGAAATTAAATTTAATCTTTGTTAAGAATTTGAGACAGTTCTAAGTTTGGCGAGCACATCTTTATGTCAATACTTTTCCTTGTAGTTAAGAAAGGCTTTCTGTGATCTGCTTCTGCATTCCTTTCCCTTATTTCAGAACACATCATCATTACTTCTTTCACTACCTTCCAGTGGGGTCCTGCAGCCTCTTCTATCTTGGCCAAGCCACATGGTCACTTTAGTCCATAAAATCATTAGGAAAATCTATTGCCAGACAGTATAAATCATTAATATGATTCCATATTAGCCTGTGTTTCTGATGTGTATATGCAAGGGGGATGCTACAGAATAATAACTTTAACACTAAACTGTATAGTTATTCTTAACTAACAGCAAGTTTGCCATGATATTTGCAATCAGTTATTTTTATCCTCATTACCCATTGCATATGTGAAGTTTAATTTGATTTCAATGTCTGCTTCTTGATACTCATTTTTCTCAAAGAGTATATTAAGTTATGTAAAGAACTGCCATTTACATTTAATGATATAACATATGAAATATCCAGAATATTATAGAATGCATTTTATAAACTATTAACTGTAATAAAAAAGAAAGAAATATTTTAAAATATGAGGCTATGAATTTTTTGAAAGAAAACAAAAATATATCTTTTTATTTTAGGAATGCACTATCTTTGGCTATGTTAAATAATTTGAAATCTGATTTATTAGAAGATATTGACAATAAAGATATTTGATGTATTTTGCTTAAGCAATCTGGACCAGTTTTCAGTGCGGGACATGATTTAAATGAATTGAGAGCCAATACTGGAAAGGATTATCATGAAGAAATATTTCGTTGATGTACAGAAGTAATGACTGCCATTAGAACAGTTCCAGTTCCTGTTATTGCTCAGATACAAGGTTTAGCTACTGTTGCTGGATGTCAGTTGGCTGCAACATGTGATATTGTTATTGCATCAGAGAATTCAAAATTTTCTACACCAGGAGCTTCTGTTGGCCTTTTCTGTTCAACTCCAGGTATTGTAGTGGCTCTTGCAGTACCAAGAAAAATGTCATCTTACATGTTATTTACTGGTCTTGCAATAAATGGCACTGATGCTTTGAAATGTGGTAAGCANAAGTGAAAAATAGAAAAATAGGCTACAATGTGCCAGTTTTTATTAATCAATGACAAATGAACAAAAATAACATTTCATTTTTATCACATAAAACAATTTTTCTATTTTTCTCTTATTTCTTATGAAATAAGAGAATGAAATCTTGAAATCTGAAATAAGATATGAAATCTTACTTCTTATTTCTTATTTCTTTGAAAATCTTAAATCATTTCTATTATCATCATCTTTGATCCAAATTTTTTTCTTCTAATTAGTATTCTAAAGATGTTCATGATCTTCTCTCAATAAAATCTGTTATAAACAATTGTTTTTATTTCTGTTTAATTTTTATAATTTTCTTGATAATAAATTAAATGCATAATGCATACAGTATGAAGTCACAATTTAGTGCAAAATGGAAAATCCCTTTTCTTTGTGTAAAGTAACAATGGTGCTATTGCAAATTATAATAGTATAGATGTAAATGTTAATTTTATAATGAAAATACAAAGGAATATTTTAAGTACCATGTTAAACTGAAACTCTATCATATAATGAATTTTTGTTGCATTTTTTTATGTTAAACTATATACTTGTAATTTTGTGATAGTAAGTAAGTACAACTTATTTGTACAGTAGTACCTCAGGATACGAACGCTTTAGCATACGAAATTTTCAGGATACGACATGAAATTCAAACATATTTTTGCTCCATGGTATTAACAAAAACTCACCATATGATGATACATTAGTTTGCAGTGCCACCGCCATGATCGGTCTCAGTCCATGTGTTTGCTTTGTCATGGAAGGATCTCACTTGATAAAGGAAATCTTGAGGTATTATCAGAAAGTGACTGATTTTATTGAAAAGAAACATATCGAAAAATTTCACACTGGCCATATTGCTGCTCAGTTTAATGACATTTGCCTAAGTCATTTTAGAAACATTTTAAAAAGTAGGCAAAGCCAAACCTGTTTGGATAGATATTTTTCCAAGTGACTTCTATCTAGTGAAAGTGCTGGTGGAAGTGAAGGGAAGAAAGCAAAAAGCAGTGAATAAAAAATTTTAAAAAATATATGAAACAGAAAAGATAAAAAAAAAATTAGTGTTAAGTTATTGTTACATTATGTTATGTAAGTTAAGTTTTAGTATCATTTCCCTTTTCCCTCTCCTCTGCCACCAGTTTACACCTCCACCATTGTCTATCCTCAAAGGTAAAGTGCAAATAAAACTACATTTTTTTAATCAATTATTATTCTATTATGGGTTATTTATACATTTACAACTACAAAATGCATTTTTCAGTGTTTTCCTTACTAAAGTTATTTTTTTTCAGGGTACTGCTTAGCTTTAATTTGAGTGTGATTTTTGTGTTGGAACGGATTATTTGGTTTTACATGTAATCATATGGGGAAAAAATAATTCACCTTATGACATTTTCATGATACGATCTCAGTTTAGGAACGGATTAATTTCGTATCCTGAGGTACTACTGTATTAGGATTTAACCTGCTACAAGGATTTTTTGATAGTTATGATCCAGTGTCTTGGCTGCTTTTAAATTTAAACATTTTTTTACATTTGGACAAGTTTTATCAAAAACACTATTATTTATTAATTTAAAAAAAGACTTATCAAAATCATTTGTCAGTTCTTTTTTTATTATTAGCCGTGCATCTTGATTAAATGCTAGTACTCTCTGAATTTTGGTACTATTAAACATTCTAGAAAAAACTTTAAATTTCTGTAGTGTATTACATAGTTTTGTTTCTCAAAAAGTGTAGGAATTAATTTATTATATTTTAACTTTAATTTAGTAATACTGATTTTTGATACTTTGATGATAAATCATGGAATACTAATATATTTGGTAGCTAATGGTAAATCATTTTGTCTATCATGGACAATTTTCAGGATATTGAAGATCTACTTTTAAAATATAACCAATATTATTCTTATCAGATGTATTTGGGATATCTAATACATTTATTTCATTGTTGGACAACTATCTAAAATGATTTATCAGTGAATAAGAACTCATTACAAATCCATATAGTTTGCATCTATGGAAAGAATATAATTATGGAATTGGGATATTTTTTTCATAACTTTCTGGAATTAAAGGATTATTTGCCTTTGCAAATCTTTCTCCTGATAAACTTATTCCTCTGAATTCCACTTTCAATAAATAAATACATATTAATATCATCAAACAATTCTAATTGAATTTTTTGTTATTTTTAATCTGTAGTTTCAGGTTAAATATGGAATGGATATAAAATATAAAGTCTAAAATATTATAATTTAGATCCACTATATTTTAGAAAATTTTCTAAAATTTTGAAATATATTATGTAATAATAATAATAATGTGTGTACAGATTGATATAATTTAAAATAATCTTTAAAAATTTTACAATGAAATTATTTCCAAACTAATTTAACATGATTGTAATCATCGTTTGTAATGTTTTCTCATGATAATTCATTATAAAAACATTTTTTCGATGGTAAACATGTTTTATTTAAAATAAGAATAAGGTAAAATTCCATTACTTTTGAATAATTCTTTATTTTCGTTATTGTGGAAACATAGGTTAAAAGTGGGAAAATTGAAATTTGCATTCTTTAAATTTTCATTTAAAATTGATAGGGAAAAATTTAAAAAATGATACATCTCAATAAATTTAAAATAATCTAAATTCAAATTATTAAATTTTTCTGAATTTATAGAAATAATTCAAATTTTTGAAAATAGTTTAGTAAGTATATTTTTGAAAATCAAATGAATAATTGAATAACATATAGGTTTATCGATTTCAATAGTTTTAGTAAAACTTGATTTACTATGTTTGAAGAAACTTTTTGTAAAATTGATTCAAAATTTGCATGTATACAGACAGGATAAAATAATGATTTTTCATCAGAATGAAATTTAGTAATAGCTTTTTTCCACTTGGAGTAGAAACTTTTTGATATTTATAATTAGAGCAAACTATACATGTTCTTTCAACATCTGCACTCTTCGAAACCATTGAAACATCTTGCACAAAATTCTTGTATTTTGACATTAATTGGTTAAAGATTTCTAATTAAAAAATAATATAATTTATATAGTAATGAATTAATTTCCTTTTTTAATTGTAAAATATATATTTATGTACTTTATATTTTTAAATTAATAATTAATGTAAATTTAATATTTAGCAACTAAAGGAATTTTTATCAACTTTGGATATTTTAGATTGAAGAACATATAATAGAATTTTATGTAGGAATTTAAGGTATGTGAGCATGACAAATCAGGATTATTTTGGTATTATAAATTTTTTAATCCTGATATAAGATTTATTCATTTATCTAATGTAAACAAAAAAAATGTTAAATATTGTAATAAATTACACTGCCTATATTTGATCTACAAAAAAAAATATATGTTATATATTTTAAAAGAACTACATTTAAAATATAAATATTTGTTTTTTAAGAGGGGAAATATCAAGAAAACATTAGTAGATTTAACTGGTGAAATATATAACATAAACATTCTGTATTTCAATGCAAAAGAGTGGGGGTACCAAAATCATCAGAGATTGGATACACATGCTTAACCATGAATTTTTTATTGTGCAATGTCCCTTGTGTGATACATTTTCCTATTTAGAAACAGGTAACTACAATTTATTATCATCATTATTATTAAATATTTATTATATTATTATTAAATTAATTTTTAATTTTGTATAGACAAATAAAATGGTTTCCAAAAATTTATTAAAAAGTAGTAATATTCTTTTTATGATTTTATATTTATAATTTTCCAGATTTAATGATGATATATTTTATTTTTAGGAAAGCCTAAAATGAAAATGTTAAGATGTATATATATTTTTTGAAAATAAAACAACAACTATATTTAATTAGTTTTTATTACAAATTATTTTCTTTAAATTACAACACTGATTATACATTATTTCAGAGGGTTTAGATAAATGAAAATGATTTTTAACAAATTTTTTACAAATTTGTCATTATAAAAGTTGTTGGATACACTTAATTCTATTAAGCATTGATTTCTATTAATTTTATACAGAAAAACAAAAGTAACCAGTAAGTTAACAAATATGAATTTTGATGAACAATATTATTCCAACAATTTTTTGAATTTTGTTTTATAAATCTTATAATTTTTGTTTTCATCAGTTTTAATTTATAGCTATTGTAGTGAAAGTAAGAATTTTTATCTTTTGTAAAGAATATTGATACTCATTGACTTCCTCACTTATTTTTTCATGCAAAATGTAAAATAATCTTAAGTATACAATTCTGACATTTCATAAAAATATTACTATTTATTATGCTAATAGTTTAAATGTAATTTCCTGACAAAACTTATATTTTCCTGTTATATAGAAATTTTGAATTAAAATTATTGACTTACAATTTAGAAAATTTTAAAAATTTTGTTGTTATTTTTATAAAATGTTTTGATAAAATTTTTCAATGTCTTTGTGTCAATGTCAATGTATCAAATGACAATGTCTTTGTATGTTTTCAAATGTTCTATTTTATTTTATATAGTTTATAAACATTTATTACATTTATATATAGTTTTACATTTTATAAGTTTACTAGCTTGCCCGTCGCGCATTGCTGCGATCTCAGAAGAAAGGAAATTCAAGAAAACTCGTTATGATAAAATTCAATTTACATTTTATCATTTTTATTGAAACTTATTATTATTATTCATTTTCATCGGGAAAACATTTCAAAGTGTCGTTTCAATTCTATTTATTTATTGGAGTGTTTGTGGATACACGATATTTTTTGTTTTTCCGTCTG